CTAATGTGGCTATCGGGTAACTGCGAATAGTTAAATGGCTAATGTTAACATGAGCTTTACTGGCCTCTTTAAATTCCTCCTGAAGTATTGTTCAGTGTTAATGACATCAACTACTTCAGCTGTTAGCAAAGGAAGGAGCTGTGTGCTTTGCGTCAAGTGGAGGAGGCACGACAGCAAAGATAGTATCGATATTGTTGCAAATGAGTTTCTTAATGTTAATTTTAGTATCTGAGTCTCAATTTTTTTGGGACAAACCGACTAACAAATTTTAATGTTTCGCTATACAGTTTCCCGAAAAAGAAAAATCTGAGACTTAATTCCTGCAATTCACAGATTAAAGGTTTTACTAGGATGTAGAATATGCATAAAATAACAGACTGACTATAAACTGTTAAAATGAAGCAAAGAGTCTGTTTTTAGATTCTCCTGCAATTTAAATTTCAGACAGTTTAAAGTTTTATACGCTTTATTCTCTTAAGGCAAAGATATAGAAATCCAATAAGTGAGTCGTGCCTATCTGTTTGCCACATTACCCCAAAAATATAATAAAACTAGGAATATTTATGGGTTGGCAACCAAGCTGTAACTGCGCCTGCATTTAATCTAAACAAGATTAACCGAGTGTGACATTCACGCAGGTATTTTACTAACTAATAAACCGGTTTTACAGTGCTGTGCTCCTATTAGCCGTTTTTCATCACGAATAAAAATTCCTGCGTCATCTGATGAGGTTTTACTCATAAACCTACCGGTTTGCTTTCCTCCCGTCTGTTAGCGAGCACAAAAGATCCCAGCAGAGTAAAGTTGCATCACAATTCGAGTTTAGATTCATGCCCACTCATTACTCCGGACATGTGTTTATTCGTGAGGCGAGCTAAAAGGCAGCCAAAAATACACGACTCAGCGTTATACCTGAAAACTTGAGCAAAGTGCACTTCAGTCAGACGCTTCTCTTAAGCGTTTCAACCAGTGACATATGGAGCCTTCAGAGAAGCAGTCATTCTTTGCACTCCAACAAGAGAGCTGCAGCAATTATCCGATTAATTCTTTAGTTGATTGACAGAAAATATCTAAAAACAACCATCAGCTACTTAATCATTTAAGCACCTTTTCTAAAATAGTAAATGCACAATACTTGAGCTTTCAAAGCACTTTCTTTCCACAAGGCTCATTCACCCATTTACACATACTCACCTTTTAACTACACACACACACACACACACACACACACACACACACACACACACACACACACACGTTAATGGATGCATCCTAGAAGCTTCCACAAGGATACTTCAACACATAAGACTGAATGAGAGAGATCGAACCACCACGCTTCCAATTAGCAGAAACCTGCTCAAATGACAAATATGCAGTTTTTCTTTCTTATGGCAACAGAGATTTAGAAAAATTATTTAATCATTAATACAAATACTTGTAAAGAGTAACAGTTACTACATTACTCATGCTACAAGTAGTTATTCTGCCCCCTTGTTCAACTTGCTTAAGCATACATTTTCTTTTCTATAGGATGCTGATTTAATTTTTTAAAATACTATTCAGAATATTATTTTAACATATTTATATTATTTCTGTGAATTCACCGGTGCAGCGTTTTCCCTACATCTGGGGAGAAGTGTCACGGTTTTCATGCTGTAGACTGAAGTGTTAATAAATCCAGACGATCTAATATACAGGTCTAATCTGCAGCAGTAACCACTAACAGCAACTATGAGAGCTGCAGTAACCACTAACAGCAACTATGAGAGCTGCACTTGCTTGTTAGTGTATCACTAAAGAGACCGATGCTGCTCATTAACAGATGACTCTTTGCATCAGAAATGTGACAGATTTAAATAACAAGATACTGCAAAGATAAGTTAGAGGTCATTTAGAAGCAGGCAGCACAAGTTGAGCCAACCAAACAGCAGATAACAAAGATTTCATGCACAGCATATACTCTATATTTCCATTAGTATTCACTCACTCATTAAAATCATTGAATTCAGGTGTTCAAATCAGTTCCATGACCACATGTCTATAAAATCAAGAAGCTAAGCACGCAGACTGCTTCAAAAAACATTCCTGAGAGAATGAGTGTCTCTTATTTTCCAGCGTGGTACCATGATAGGATGCCGCCTGATGGACGAGTCTCACTGCTCGTGTAAACTTTGGTGGAGGGGGGGATTTTGTGTGGTTGTCTTTCCAGGAGTTGGGCTCAGCCCCTTACTTCCAGTGAAAGGAACTCGTAATGTTTCAGCATAACAAGACTTGGTCTCTCAAGTTCATATGTGTGTGAAGACAGATGAGAGAATAATTTTGGCAATATAGTGCATCATCTTTTGGGCTCTAAAAGGATAATTTAGTAGCTCTTTCTGTGAAATGTTTCAGTTGAACTGTTGTATAGGGAGTATAAGCACATGCTAGTTTTTCAGATAGGACTGCCTGAATAAATCAAACCTGAATTTTGATTCCATTAAGCTTGTTTGGTGGTTCTTCCTTCAGCAATCAGATTCTAATAACTTCTTGTGCTCTGCAGTTTTACCCCTGGAAACATGTGTCCACATCAGAAATGCTTCAGTGCTCCACCAGCAGGCATACCACCAGTGTGAGCACTACTGCTTTATGTTGCTGGTAGTCTCTGACTCTCCTGAGTGCTGATGTTTTTGGGTTTTTTTAAAAATTCAGGTCTTTAAACAGTATCTCTTATTGTGCACCAGCAGTAGTCACAGATTACGTTTTAATCAGTTAGACACAACACAATTCAGCTCTGACATTGCAACTCATAAACCTGAATCCCATAAATGTGCAACTACCCAGAGAAGGACCATAAGCAGCAGTTTAACCCCCTTTAAGAATGAACACAAGATTTCCTCAACTCATATATTTGAAACACGACACTGATGCCTTGACTCACTTTTCTCAGGATGGATCACAGATTTTTAATTCAAAATTTGCAGGATCTGGGTGGCTTCTCTTGCAAAACAAACACAATAAAAAAAAAAGGATCAATAGGCTATTTAATAAAGTTGGCATCCATGGAAACCAGTTCAGTGTTAAATCTAGAAGAATGATTCTGTTTAAAGTGGTAAAAAAAAAAGAAGAAGCTGTAAATAGTATCCAAAGAGAGAGAAAAGGCTGCTTTGTTCATTTTCTAACTTCATTAATTAGCGAATGGTTTGCAGTTACTGTTAACGAATCTTCACAATGACATTTTCTATAACTCTGCATCCACTCCACCCCCACAGATGACCTTCATATTTTGGGGGAAAACGCTGCTGGTGTGCACACAGCGATACACAGAGGCGGGCCTGTGCCAGTTACACAAAGCTGTCCATTCAAGTCCCGATGGCCTGGAGCCAGTAACACTACACACTGCCCACCTCCTCTCAACCTTCATCACCTGTTTTGCCCAAAATGAACCAGCCCTGCCTTCTTGCTACCAGCTTCACTTTATTCCTCTCTTTCCATTTGCATCCTTACATGGGCAACAACCTCTCACTTTATGTCTAAAAACAAGATTACTCGCTCAGCTTGCCATCTTTACCATCACACCAGTTTTTTTTCTCACTTAACCCCCCCTCCCCTCCCCTTCTCTCAGCCACATGAAATTATTTTAGACGTCACAGCAAAAATTCAGCAACATCAAGCACTTTTCTCCCCTTTTCATCCACCTTACCCGCTCAAGAGTTACAAGAGAATCCCAGGTAGACCATCAGTCTCTAAAGTGCCAACTAATGGGGGTACTAAAAATAGAAAAAGCGATGTTTTTCTATCACTTCTCCCTCTGTTGCCACAGGCGTAGCTTCATCTCTCAAATAGATCACAAGTCTTTTCCTCCTCCAACCTTTTTTCCCCTCATTTATTTCCTTGCTGGTAAACGTTTTCATGCTTTAAAGCTGAACTAAAAATATACCTCTTGTCTAATATGCCCAGCAGAAGCTGTACAGGGGAAGGGAGGAGGATGGTGTGGAGGGGGGTAACAACTGCTCACAATTGCCATGGCAACGCTCTTACTTTCCTTTGAGTACAGTCGTTAAACAATGACTCGACTGCTTTCATTTTAGCATGTAACACTGTTTTGTGATTAGTGGACAGGCAGTTTGTGCAGCGGGGGGAAAAAAAATAGATAAATAAAATAAAATAAAAAATCGGGATTCTGAAAAGCGGTGATTCATCACATGATCAGGAAAAAAAACGTAAAAATAAAAAATATGAATCTGCAATCGGCCAGGCAGGCAAAAGAAACTTCAATGTTTATGGAGAGAGAAAAAAAAATACAAAGGCTTTCAAACAATTTTTGCAGGGCATTGTGACTTCACATACCACTGCTGCATCTGTACGAGTACGCTCAGGTTTGTCTTTGTCTGACCAATCAAATGCCACCCTCCTACACAGCCTTACAAAACCAGCCCAGACACAGTCAGTACGCGAGATGGAAGTTCTTATCGAATGGTGGAAGCGTACCTTTACAAAAATCATGTCTGGGGGGAAAAAAAAAAAAAAAAAAAAAAGAGGAGCTGCGATTTCAAGGCAAAGAGGGAGATTTAAAAAAATAAAAATGAATAAAAATTGCCGTGGCACATAAGCCACCCACTCAGGTACCAGACAAACTGCATTACTCAATATCGGCTTCAGGGAGAAAGCATAATCGACAAGAATGCAACAAAATAAAAAATAAAATAATTCTCATAAATGTGCAAATGCAACAAAACACACACACACGCCCACACGCAGGTCCTCGCATCACTCTGAAAAACACAAACTGACTGATATCCTGTGCGTAGCCTCGGATGTTTCTGTTGCCGTGCACATTATCACACATGTAAATGAGGATGTGCAAGACTCGGCTAAAACCAAATTTCCACATCGATTTAACCTAACCTCCTCCCATTTTATTATTCACTGCTCTGCATAGATGCATAAATATACTGACGTGGTGTGGTGAAGGGGAATTTCTAAAGGTCGTCTCATCAGTTTCAGGGAAAATGTTCACTTACTGCCAGTGAAGGCGATCCAGCGGGCATATTTGGTGGCTTCTCTGCGCCAGTGTGATGCCACCAGCAGTCCACAGGTGACTGTGAGGGAGATGATGCCCATGATGATGAAGAACAGTGTGGTGACCCACTCTGGGGGCAGCCTTGGTGGGATGCAAGTCCGGTCTCGTCCGTGGATCGTTTGACATTGCCGGACCAGTCCGACCGTGAGGGCTCCTGCAGAAAGACGACGAGGGTCAGTGAAGCAGACATTTTAAGTCGCCCTCCTCACACAAATAAATAAATTAAATGAAACAAAAGTATTTGCCGTTTTCAGATGATCTGCATCAGGACTCTTAACGAATCCAAAAATATATTACAAAGCTATGGGAGGGGGAAAGGTTTCAGCTCCACTGCTAATCACTCGCACAGCAGGGTTGCAGTTAGGAGGGAGACAGAGACACACTGCAGACTTCAATTCCCACTTCCAGCATAAAGAGGATGTAATCTGTAAATAAGCCAACAGGAAATTACAGCTACTGTCATTCACATACAGCAATAAATGATAAATGATGTGGAAACCTGACCTCACAGACCCACTAAGTCCTGATTCAGACTTCTGTGGTGAATCTTCATAGAGGCTATGGTATAAGCTATAGAAGTGGATGATACATCAAACTGGCATTTAGTTACATTGACAGCACAGGGTTTCAGAGAGGTTTGCAGTTAGTAGAGGTGGGTGGATTGACAAATATCGATAGTGCCAATGCTGGTATCTGTATTGGATCGATACTAGTGCAAGAGGATCTGTTTCAAAATACACAAAAAGCTGAAAGGTGTTTTGTTGTATTAACTAATTATTGTGGAAAGCAAAAATTATTTTGATTTAGTAATCATTAAAATATGCTCAGAATTTGCAAATTGATGACAATTCATCTCATTAATCAAGACACTTCTCCCCCCTACATATAGGAGTAGGGATGGGTACCGGTTCTGACATAAACGGTAGTAA